TTTTGGACTTATTTGATGTTTCTGAAAACTGTTTCGTCTATTTGAAGTTTCTCGATTGAACTCAAAGTCCTTCTTGTTTAACTTCTGCTTCTCTATGTGATTTGGTTTCTTGCAATCTTTGAACTAAAGGACCTTTTACTTGATTCTTTAGCATGCTTCTGATACCCCCTTCTCCCTATTACTAGACCAACCTATGTGACTACTATGTTTCACTGTCTACGGACTTCGTAGTTGTTATTGTTGTTTCTCTTTTCTATGGTTTAACCTCGCATGCTTAAAGTTTGTGCACCCTTTATACACACCGAATGTCCCTCTAATATGACCTTAGATTTTGGACTGATTTCAGACCTCTTTGTGTAAGCCTGATTGATTCTTTCCTTATTTTTCCTCATATCCTTTCCTTTACCTCTTTTCTGACTTGGTTCATTCGAACAAGGCTTTCAACTTTGATTGTTACTAGCTGTTTGATTGATTTCATTTCCTTATTTTTTACAAACCAAGTACCATTGGATTTTTACCTTAAATATCTTTTATGTGTTTACCCTTATTGTACTGCTTGGGAAAATATTCTGATTGATTCTTTCCTTAATTGCCTCTACCCGTTTGAAATCAGAGTCCCTTAATTAAAGGAAGATTGATTTCAAGGTTATTCCCTTACCTTTTCTTACTTTCTTGCTGCACTATAAAAGGGCCCATCCCTTCTATACTTGAGACATCATCATTTACTGATTTTTGAATTGCACACTTTCAATTATAAACTCTTGGAATTCTATACTCTCTTCTGAGATCTTCTATACTACTTGCTCGCAATTTGGCTTACAAAAACTTCTACTTTCACTTATTATTCTAAAACTGGTATGTCCCAATTTTGATTCTAGCATCAACCCCAATGTGTTTACTTACAAGCTTCTATGTCCATGTCTACTTTACTGCTTGGTAGAGTTCAACTTTTAAAGTAGTATGCTTATGTCTTGCTATCTATTGCTGCAATGAATCCCTATTCCTCACTCTCTTTTATGTGTTTGAGCTATGGTTTAAGACATGGCAATACACAAGTTATTGTCCATGGATTAAAACTGGATCCTTTGGATCCTAGTCTCTTTCAATTTCCCATACCCCCATTCCCTTATGTGTGCTGAGTTAAGGTATAGCATGGCAACATCCAAATTGTTGTCCAAGGCTAAACCTGACCTTCAATAGGTCATAACTCTCTAATTTTTAAGCTGACATGTTAGTCAGGGGTGTGCCAGCCTATCCTATGGCTAGGCATGACCATCAACCTGCCTTGACACCCCTACCCTTCTATTGCACTTGCACTCATTCTTAGAAAATTAAGTTCTGCCCCTCTCTTGTGAGCCTTGCCTTGGGACCCCCCGAGCTCCCTCTGAACTTGGACACCTGAGGGCTGGCCCTTCCACACTGCACTATAACTCTTTCTAATTAATATCTTGGGTGTAAGCACTGCCTGGAGTTCTTGAAACTCCTTGGATCTCTGAAACATCCTAGATAAGAGAAGGCTTTGGAATCTGGATCTCAGAAGTGGTTCAATCTCATATTGTCAGACACCAAGTCTGAATTAGGCTGCTCAGATGTAGCTGTGATTTCTGATGTACTTTTAATTTCTGTCTTATTTTTTTATCGGCCTGTAATAATTTGTACAAACTCATGGGGATTTAGTGAAAAGGGAGGGGGGTTACTTTATGCACAAAGGGTAAAAACCATGCCTATAGGATTTAATTTTTGGTCTATGCAACTATGCATATAGATACCATGCCTATAGAGATCTGCATTCCTGCATTTTATAATGACATTAGGCCAACTGTTAGGTTTAATAATAAATCAGCATATAGATATCATGTTTATAAGGCTGTCAACGTTTGAAAGGTATTAAAATCAGTAACTCGTAGAGATTATGCCTATAGGAACTTCAAATCAGAATTGTTTCACTCGTCTAAAACAGTACTGACCCCTTTTGCTAAAACCAGCGACTTTCTGCACGTTTTCTGAACCCTTAAATTTTTCTTGCAACCAAATCAGTGCATCTTTTCTTTCTCGATAAATATTCTCAAAACAGTGCATATTTTCTAAAAACTTACAGCTTTCCCGATAATTTGACAAACATTTTTCTAATCCATCTGAATTCAATTCTTTATACTTATCTGATAAACCTTTTGAATCAATTTGCAATTCAGTTCTTTCGTTAAAACTCGACAACTCCTTTTCTTAAACAAGTATGTTTTCTGAAACTCGTTTTAAACCATTTTTTCTTTGTATTAAGTCTACAATCCTTTTTGAAACTTATCTCATTCTGCAACTCCTTTACAATTAGTAGTTTTGTCCCACACTTAGGGTAAAGTTGACTAATTAAAGTGGCTCAGTCTTTGTCAACTGCATCCGAGTGAGCCTAATGCGGACTTCCTGTCTAAAAGTATGTGTTGAATCAGTCCGCTTATTGCTTTAATTTTAAAGACCTAAACAGTACATGAAAGACATGCTAAACTCTGTGATTTATCTGATTTAAGGAGGTTTACTTGAGCCTTACTTGCTTATATTCCCCCCACTTCTACTTGTATTATGTGTTTTGATTGACGCCTTAGTATTTTGTCCTTTGAAACCCTCAAAAGGCCCCAAATCCCTTTTCCTTTAGGATTAGTAGTCTTAAATACCTCTGGGACTGCTAAAATTGGGATGAGTACTAGCATACAATAAGTAACGAAACTTTTTGCGCTTCAATACCTTAACGGGGTGGGAAAGGTAGAATATGGATATGATGATCGGTGCACTAATATCACGTGTGACCCCTCTTCTGAGGAGTGATTGCTGGATATTGCATTGATGTGATCCATATTATCGGTAAACCTAGGACCCCTTTCCCCTTTACTTGTTATTTTTTAAGTTTTCTTTTAAAACTAATTTTCTAAACTCTCTACTTCTTCAACTCTTAAACTTATTTGCAAAACTATGTGAAGCCCCTTTGCTTTATTTTTTCTACTTGTCTTCTTGAAGTCACAATTATAGCATGGCCGGGAACCACACTTGTGGATCCTGAGGGGTGCCTAAAACCTTCCCCTCGGGATAATTTCTAGCCCTTACCCTAATCTCTAGTCTCTTCATCTCAAACTCTTCTAAAAAGTGTCCTAATGCACTATAATCATTAGGTGGCGACTCTTCAAAATTCTGAAACCCAATTCTCGAAAGGGAATAGAGTTGTCCTTCCCAATGTCGTATACCAAATTTCTGACCCTACGGTTAGAGAAACATGGGGCGTCGACAATAGCTCTGTGATGGATTATGCTGACTTTGCAGGCATAGTGGAAAAGGTATGGAATCAATAGGTAAATGGAGGCAACATGCACAGGGTATGGAATACACTTAAAGATTTGAAAACTGAACTGAAGGAATTGAACACTTATATGGCTTCCTATAGGCTTCAGCTCAATAAGACCAGGCAGAAACTTTAAGCCATTCAGAGTGAACTAAAACACAAACATATGGATCAAAGGTTGATTGATCAAGAAAAAATGGCTATGATGGAAGTAGAGAAATAGAGCAACATAAAGGAACATATTCTACATCAGAAATCTAGAGCACATTGGATAGCTTGTGGAGACTCAAATTCTAAGTATTTCCATGCACAGTTGAAGCTGAGGACAAACAAAAATACTATAAACTCTATCTACACTGACTTGGGAGACAAGGTATCTGAACCGATACTGGTGGAGGAAGAGTTTGTCAAGTTCTTGATGAAGCTACTGGTAGAGAATAACACTACATGTGAATGTCCAAACTCTGAGGTCATACGTCAATGACCTTGTCTTAATATGCAGCAGACAGAGGACCTAATCAAAGTAGTTACAAGAGATGAAATACTTCAGGCAATAAAAGATATGCCCCATGATAAGGCACCAGGAGTGGATGGGTTTCCAATTCAATTTTTCACATGACATTGGCAAGTAGTAGGTGATGATATATATGAGGATGTGAAGGATTTTTTTGTGACTGGGAGGCTGCATAAAAGAGTGAGTAGTACTGCTGTAACACTGATTCCTAAAATGCAAAATCCTAGTCAAGTTAAAGACTATAGGCCCATAGCATGTTGTACAACAATGTATAAGATCATCACAAAGGTCCTCACAGCAAGACTAAAACCAGTCATTGGAGGTCTAATTGGGAGATCACAGTCAGCATTTATAGAAGGTAGAAGTATTATAGACAACATTTTGTTCACACATGAATTGTTCAAAGGATATAATAGAAAGGGTATCTCCCCAAGATGTGTTCTTAAAGTGGATTTGAGGAAAGCTTACGACACAGTAGAATGGTGTTTTTTTAGAAAGATTGCTTACTAACATGGGGTTTCCTTACAAATCCACAAGATGGGTAATGGAATGCATTTCATCAGTTACTTATTCTCTAAACATAAATGGTGGACTCACAACACCTTTCAAAGGCAAGAGGGGCAAAGGCAAGGAGACCTAGTGTCTCCCTATCTCTTTGTCCTGGCCATGGAGTATTTGCAAAGGGAGTTCATGCAATTGACAAAGATAAAAGACTTCAAATTCCATCCTAGGTGCAAGAAATTGGGTGTGGTACATGTATGTTTTGCGGATGACTTGCTAATGTTTTGCAAGGCTGATATACAATCTGTCAGGCTATTAAAACAGGCTTTTCATAAATTCTCTAAGGTATCAGGTCTTCAAGCAAATGCTGACATGAGTTTTGTCTATATAGCTGGAGTTTCAATTTGGAAAAAAGAGGAAATTTTACAAGAGCTGGGGTTCCCTGAAGGCAGCCTACCTTTAAAGTACCTTGGGGCACCATTGGGTTCCAAAAAGCTATCCATTGCTTAGTGTTGGCCACTAGTAGAGAAGGTAACTCAAAAGATAAATTGCTGGACATCGAGATTATTATCATATGCAGGGCGACTTCAATTGATAAGATCAGTTTTATTTGGTGTGCAATCGTATTGGACACAAATATTTTTATTACCAAAGAAAGTGATGAAGATGATTGAGGCAATCTGCAGATCATTTTTGTGGACTGGTTCAGCTATTGTGTCAAGGAGAGCTTTAATTTCTTGGGAAACAATATGTTTGTCACAAAGTGCAGGGGGGCTTAATGTAATGAACATGCTATACTGGAATAAAGCTGCTATTGCAAAACATCTATGGGCAGTGGCAAAGAAAAAGGACAGTCTATGGATAAAATGGATACACATTTACTACATAAAGAACTATACGATTGAAGATATGCCTATACGTAGGAGTGCAGCCTGGGTAGCTAGAAAAAATTTTGAGGCAAGAAGGATGATAAATGAGCTTCAAGGAATTCAAGGGGATCTGGAAAGCATATTGCACTAGCTACAGAGGGGTGAATTGTTCAGCATTAAAAAATTGTACAGGCTTCAATTCCCTCAACATCAAAATGTCCAGTGGAAGAGAATTATTTTGCAGCCACACATGCATCCAAGATTCAAATTTATACTGTGGCATTGGCAACAATGGAGAGGCTACTGAAGTTTGGTATACAAACTCCACAGTAGTGTATTTTTTGCGAGCAAGCTGTTGAGACTTTTGACCATCTTTTCTTTAAATGCTCGCTGACAAAGGAACTATGGTTGAGGCTGCTAAGATGGTTGGGATATGATAGACCTATTTGTGACTGGCAGAGTGAAGTCGAATGGGTAAGCAAGAATGCTAAAAAGAGAAATGGACAATGTGCAATAGTTGCCTGTGTATTTGGCATGCTGGTGAATGCTATATGGAGAGCAAGAAATAAGCTGAGATTCCAAGGAGGTAAACTGATAATCAACAATATCTGCAAAGAAATAGCTATCCACATACACCTGCAGGGGGTCTCAATACAAAACTGGAAAGAAGCTCTGCAGAAGATAAACTGCTACCCTTAGTATGCTAGAGTCTTTTACTGGTTTCTTGTGTAATAGCATTAGAGTACTGGATTGTCATGTATAGTCCTAGCTTAAGAAGGAACCTCAGACTAGAGTTTATAATAAAGGATGAGTAGATGGTCAACATCTACTGAATGTAATGTATATTCTTTTGATGGAATGAAATAGAAAAGCTGTTTATCAAAAAAAAATTATAAGGTGTTGTTGGCTGAGGTAATTGTTGATGATGGTCGTGCGTGACATCTTAATTAATCTGAAAGTATACAAAATTTGAACTAGTCCTATCGTGCAGTATTAACGATTCAAATTCGGGCCTCATATTTATTTAAAGAAAAAACAAGATAACTCTATCTTTAAAAAAGTAATAACCTTTTAGTGACTGCCCTAGTTGAGTTATGATTTAAAATTAGGTTCAGTGTTCGTAAACAATTTCTCTAAGACCATCTCCAACTTTAGGGCGATGTGCACAGATAGTCACTAACCGCTCATGTCTTTATTTTAAAGCCAACATTTTAAATGTCTTTAGTCTTTAGCCACTGATTTAATAAACTTTAACTGCTCGGACGAAAATACCCTTCTGCTCATGTCCTTAACTTCAGGACTACATGTCCTTAACTTTTGAACTTGAAACTCTAAGTTCAGGACTTCAGGACTACATGTCCTTAACTTTTGAACTTGGAACTCTAATTTCAGGACTTCAAGGTTACATGTCCTTAACTTTTGAACTTGGAACTCAAACTTCAAAACCAAGCATCCTTAACTTTTGAACTTGTAAGTCAAAGTTAAGGACCTATTGTCCTTAACATTTGAACTTGTAACTGTAAGTTAAGTACTGCTTGTCCTTAACTTTTGAACGTGTAGCTGTAAGTTAAGGACTGTCTGTCCTTAACTTTTGAACTTTAAACTCAAAGTTAAGGACAAACAGTCCTTAAGTTTTGAACTTGAAACAATAACTTAAGGACTGCCTGTCCTTAAGTTTTGAACTTGAAACTATAAGTTAAGGATTGTCTGTCCTTAACTTTTGAACCTAAAACTCAAAGTTAAGGACAGAAAGTCCTTAAGTTTTGAACTTGAAACAATAACTTAAATACTGACTGTCCTTAAGTTTTGAACTTGAAACTATAAGTTAAGGATTGTCTGTCCTTATCTTTTGAACCTGCATGTCAAATTTAAGGATTGTCTGTCCTTAACTTTTAAACTTGCATGTCAAACTTAAAGACTCATGTCCTTAACTTTTAATCCTTGAACTTAAAAGAATCAAAAACAAGGTAAGAAAGAAATTACTATACGTAATTGAGACATCTGCTAAAAAATTCAGAACTTGAAAATTTTGATGATGCAAAAGGAAC